CAACCCTAACTATTCTATGATTCTATAAACAAGGCTTTGCTAGATGAAGTAGCGTATATGTATGTGCCTAAGGAATCTTTCACTGCTGCTGCAGCTGTTCTGCAGTGTGTGCTATTTAATATTGGTGCCTGCATGTCAAATGCTTCTTATCACTCTTAGACTCTGTTTGGTGTACCCATTGCCGTAGAAGGAATTCTGTTCTACAGTACTCTATGTATGTCAGGTACATATCACTTACTAAAAAACTGGCTATGGAAGATCTTCCACTAAACTTTCAGGTAACATTTTACTACCATCCTGAAAACTAGTTTAAAAACATAAAAGAACCTGCTTGGTGTTGAGCCTGCTGAGTTTTTTTGCTTGCTGATTTTAGACGATTAGGTGAAACCTTGCACTAAGATATCAGCTGTGAGTTAATGGCATTTTGTAGGCCTGAACTGCAACTAGCATTTTTCATGAAACAGGTAGATACGCCATGTGTGACTGAAGGCAGTGTATGGTCCTTAAAGCATTTACATGGTAATTAGAAGTCTTTACGAGTCTTGATATCTCTTTTCCAGACTAAAAAGTGCCTAAGCTTAAGTTCATGGGTTTTTTTGTTTTTGTTTTTGGGTTGGGTTTTTTTTTGGTTTTTTTTTTTAAATACTTCTCAGCTACCATCTCCTTAATCTTTGGACCTTAGATAAACTCTAGTGAAGTGGAAGAAACTACTAAATACTACACTAAAAATAATTGTGTGAGAACTTGGTATTCCTCAGATACATGGTTTTTCTGTTTTTTCTTGTAGGAGGAACTGGAAGCTGCTAAGAAATTTCTCTATTATGAAATGGGCTACAAAGTAAAATCAGATCAATTAAGAGACAGCTCTGAAATCAGCCTAGTTCCTTCAGATATTGAGAGGTAAGTAGAGTGAAAGAGTTCCCTATGCTGCTAGGAATTAATACTTGTCATTCTTCTGAGTGCAGTTTTTCCCACTGATAACCCTTATCTTGCAGGTACAAGAAGCGATTCCGCATGTTTGACAAGGACAAGAAAGGGTTTATTACTATACTGGATGTGCAGCGTGTCTTGGAGGTAATGTTCCCCTCTGTTCTTTTGGTTTCCTTTTTAAGTTTCTTATCTAAATTTGAGAGTGTGGCATAAATAGTGCTGAACAGCACAGCTGATGTACTTTTGTGCTTTTATTTGTCTAGAGCATCAGTGTGCAAATTGCTGAAAATACTCTTCATGATATTCTGAATGAAGTGGATCTGAACAAAAATGGACAGGTTGAGCTCAATGAGTTTCTGCAGGTAGGTGTCTCTCTGTTACCAGAGAAGCTGTGACTTGAATTAACAAAGGTGTAAGTATTTAACTTTTTTTCCCCTCTGCTTAAGGTCTGGGTTGGAGACTAGGTGAGTGTTACTTGGGTAAATGCTATAGCGTTGATGTTATTTGCCAGATCACAAGGTAAGTGACACACACAACCATCCTCAAGCACTTTGAAATTCAAGGATTTTTTTGTGTGTGTGTGTGCAGAAATAATGAGTCCTAAAACCAGTTCCAATTTACAAAGTACACTACAGTACAGGCCTGAATTTGGCCCTTTATAATACAGAAATGCTGTTTAAGTATATTCAAAATGATACAATTGTCCATTGGAAAGTATATGGCACAGTTGGGCACACTGACATTTATCTTCGTCTGTTGATTGACTAGTAGTTTCTAAACTATTTTGCCTATTTTAAAGAATAAGCTTGTAGTTAAAGCACAGTCCATCCCTATAACTCCTGGGTTAAACTGTCCCTGGTTTAACTCCTGGGTTGACTAATGGTACCTCAGTTTGTATGGAAGACGTTACATTGACAACCCACGCACCTGACTTTTTGCGAGGCTTTAAAATAAAATGAAGAGTCTTATGGAAATGTTTATTTGCCCAGATTCTCATGCATATGCTGTTCGCCAGTCAGTGTTGTTTTTGTAGAGTCTTCCTTGGTGTGGTATTTCAAGTGACTGCCATGTCTTCCGTGCATGGTGGCAATGATGAATGCCAAACATGAGATAAATTCATGCTGGGGATTTTGGTCAATGTCAGCCCTTTCTTCACTGTGTCAAGTTAAACAAACAAGATCAAGGCAAAGGAAATGGTAATTGTCTCTCTTGAGATGAGCTGTAGATAAGAGCAGCATTCTGAATCTAAATGCAGAAAATTTTCACAGATTGTGTCCAGCATTAGAAAAAGGGACTATTAATTTGCCTAAAATACAGCAATTTAGCTGGGTAACTGAAATGCACTTGAGGGAAGGGGCAAAAAAACCCCCAACGAACAAACAAATAGTGGTGGGGGAAGAAGAAACAATGGCTTTGGGAATTCGTGTGTGTGGATTCAAATAAAAGAGAAAATCACATCTGGTTTTCTGGCTGTTGAAAAGGGCCTCCCTTTTACACCCCTCTGCATGTGAAAACTTTTAGTTGATGGGGTGAGAACCTACTGTTCACTGTAAGAGCTGTGTTAAACTATGATGTGGCTAGTTTGGACACATTGTGGTTACGAAGTTGGAATGACTTGTAATTATGTCTGAAGCGGATTTTTGGTGGCTCGTTGGGTTTTTTGCTTCCCTGTGCTAAAAAGCCTCAGTTAGGGTTGCGTGCCCCAAGGCATTATATCTGTAAAATATGAAGGCAAGCCACTGTTTTGGTATAGTTTCAAAGGTACTGTTGTAAAATTGTGTAACTGTGCTACTGGCATCGCCTATGCATTTCACGATTGGAATATTTAATCCTGGTGACTGGCACTGCAGTAAGGATCACTTGTGCCTGTGCACCTCCTTCCTGGGGCGGCAGGGAGCAACACACAGGCTGCTCCTGCGCAGCCGAGAGCCTAGGAGGAAGTGTGGTAATAAAATTAACAGGAGGTTGCCATGGAAGGAACAAAATACATTAAATGTTTGTTTAATTTTTTTTTTTTAATGGATCTGTTAAGTCAGCTCCCAATACTTCTGTGTTTGCTTTCTGAAAACTTTCAAGTAATTGCATTTTACCGCAGAATGCTTGTGGAAAGCCATGTGCAAATATTTGTGGACATTTATATTAGAATATAGGAACACAGTGTACCAGGGTGGCAGCGCAGCTCTGCAGGCACGGAGTGGAGCAGTGCCAAGCGCTTCCTTTGCCCAACCACAGATGCCTGTGTCACTCCTGTCACAGCAGTAACAGTAACCGGTGGTGAGCACTGGTCCTGACAGACACTGATGCCTACAGGTCTTTCACAGAGAGAAAGCGGCCTGTGTTGGTCAGGAACACAGAAGGGTTGTTCCACGTGGCAGGAAGGCAGAGCTCTGATGGTGAGTGGGTGTACACGGTGCTGTCCTACAGCAGTGACTGTTTTTCTGAAGCTTAGTGGGGCTGTCATTTATGCTCAGGAAAAGAGAGGGGAACTTGGAAACTAGTTTTGGTATGCAAAGCCAAAAAAGCCCATGTTAAATCAAGAGGAGGCTTTCTTCCCAACAGCAGATTTCTTTTTGGGTCCTGACTGACCCACATGTCAGATAATCTTCTTTTCATGGCAATGCCAGGGTATCAGCCACCAGCAACCACTGTTTTATAGTTGCTTCCCCAAAAAGCGTGCCATATAGGCTGTAGTTGGTATAGGTTCACAGTTACTGCTGTAAAACTGTACCTCTGTGGCTACTGGCTTCTCCTATGCAGCGGTATAGTCAGACCAGACAGACCCAGGACTGGTAGCCGAGTATATTGCTGGGCAGCGTGCATGAGTGAGGGCAGGGCCTCTCCTCTTGGGAGATCTCCCTGCTGTGTGTAGAGATCACTCTGGAAGCAGGGTGTTAGGTGATGGGGATCACCAAGCCCAAGTGATCATGGGCTTCCCTTGCTGTCTGTAGCTACTGCTCTTGCTGCTATTGGTCCTCTCCTTCCCAATTCCATCATCTGCCTTGCCTCAGGGCTGCACAGCATCAGTAAACGCCTTCAAAGTGCAGGGAGGCTTTTCCAGCCTTGTCTGGGTCTGCAAAGCACAGGGTTCCCCTCTGACCCTCTTCCCTGCGGGTACTAATTCCTGTTTTGACAGGGTTGATGCCACATTTGCATAGGTCCAGCTGCAGATATAATTAATAGATTTTCCTATAGAGGGGAAGAAATCTGAAGGATTCTCAGCACCGGATAGGAGTAAGAAATTGCATTTTGTAAGTGCCAATTGCTTTCCATAGTAGCTTTTGACAAGCTGGCTGCATGTAATTTCAAGTCTAATGCTTGCTTTATCCATGGGATAAAGAAGAATTAACTAAAATCTTAGCACTAGTTTGTGTTCGTTAAGATAGAGCCAAGTCCAGTTTCCAGGACTTAAAGGCAAATTAGTTTTAAAAGTCTGTAAAGGAACTTGGATTTGAAAGAATTGTGGAAGTCAAGTGCGCTGTCTCTACAAAGAAGGGCATATAAATGAAAGAGGGTATGGTCTAGGGTCAGTGGTGGATCAAGAATGGTGTTCTATTAGTTACATCTTTCAGATATTAAGAAAAAAAAAAAGCCTCTGAAATGGATGGGTTATCCCACATTCTTGTATGCAAAAACCCTGGGGTTGACCATCGCTCGCACTGTTACTTCCAAGTATTTGGTACTTCTGCCCTTCCTGCCACCCATGCCTGGCCAAAAGTTTCAGTCATATTTCAAGAAAATGTAAATGAGCTTTGAAACCATACAGCAGTTTTGCTTTATATATGGAAAATCAGTTCTGTGTATTCATTAACACTTGCTAATGGCTCTTGGACAAAACAATGAACTCTGCCGTTGTTCAGAGTAGAGCTATGTGGGAATCCCTTGTTGTTGGCCCTTTGGTGGGACACCCAGCAATGCCTGTCTGCCTCTGGTGCGGGGAAGCTGATAGCACCAAGCTGCATGGGTCTGCTGGGTCCCATGTCCCATAAGCCACATGAACAGCAGGGGTTGGTGGTGTCTGCCCAGGGACTGGTGTTGGTTGCTGTCACTCTGGCCTTTCATGAAGGGCTATACCCTCTGCCTCTCTTCTTTGCCTTGCAAAGGAGTTAACAGGATGCTTTCCCTCTTGTCTTCTAAGCTCATGAGTGCTATTCAGAAGGGCTATGTGTCTGGAAGCCGACTGGCTGTGCTCATGAAGACTGCTGAGGAGAATCTGCATCGGCGTGTGGGGATTCCGGTGGACCGGAGCGGTGGTGGACTGTGAGTTCAAACACAATGTCTGCTCGCAGCCATGGCTGATGGAGGTGCATCTCTGCTGAAAAACATTCCGGTGCTTCTGATTGGTCTTGCTCGTTCCAGATGACCAGCATCTGTCTATGGGTGTAGCTCTTACAAAAATACATTGGTGCATTTGTTTTCATTATTAATGGTTTTCTGTGCAGCTGTTAATACTCCAGTATGTGGCCTTTTGGATTGGGTATTCTTTAGACACAGGGATTCACTAACAAGAATTCAGGAATAGAAGTTAGAAAGATTTGGGTGCACACACAAGCATATGTGCACATACTGCCTTGTTCATTAATTTCTATATCACCTTTACCTTCAAAGAAAACAATGCTCAGAAAGTGCATCCTGCCTTTGAATGCATTGCATTGAGTTTTGTGACTATGTGTTTAGTGTTGAAAAGCTGTTGATCTCTCCTCAACAAAAGTGAGACAGGAAAAGCTGGTGTTCTGGATTGCAGATAGTATCACAACAGGATCAAGACCGATACTTCCCAAGGCAGCATTTGCAAAGAACTGTCATGAGCCTTCCGTAGGTGGCTGGTTTTGCTCTTCCTAGTGCTCTGTTATTTCACTGGTACCAATACTTGGCCAGACAAAAATATCAGCAGCACGAAGCTGGAAAACTACAAGACATCTTGATTAATCACCCAAGCTAATAATTTATTTAAAAGCAAGGGGACAGCTTTCCTTTCTCCCATATTAATAAAAATAAGCTTCCTTTAATAAATAGTGTTGTCTAACAGGTGGTGGTTTATACTGTAAAAGGCTTCATACTGTTTCCAGTTTTGGACAAACCCTGATGATCTGTAGAATATGGCAGGTTTAATAGCGTAATGGTCTTAATTGTTCATTTTAAAATGTTCAAACACAGAGTGAAACAATTAAATTTGTTTTGCATTACACTGAATTGTCTATGAAAGTGAAAGGGCTATTGTTCAGCAGCTGAGGGGGGAAATAGGATCACTCACTTGAGCTGTTTTCAACCATGTTGTGTCTGTCTGTTTGCCTTTCTGTTGTTGGATTGACTAGGCTCAAGATCAGGTGGAAGACTCCTGCCTAATGTGGAACAAGGAAGGGAAAAACACAAGAATGGTTTATTGATGAATTTGTCATTCTGTTATATTCTTTATGTATAAGTACCAATTTTCAACTTAAAGCTGCAGTTCCAAGGTGTTAGAATCTCTACTTGTGTAGAATCAAATCTTTTTTAACCAATGTCACCACTTTCACTAATGGAAAATATCAGTCTAATGGAAAATATCAGTACAGGACTGAATAGCAAGGATTGCTTTTAAAAGGGAAGATGATACATACACAAAATGGAGATGGTGAGGAGTGTTCATATGGAGCACAGTAAGTACAGAGGTTATGTTTGGCTGGAGAGGAAGAGTCCTTTAAAAAAAATAAAAATTCAGGTGCTTAAAAATGACAGATACAAAAAACCAAACCAAAACAAAAAACAACCAAAAAAGAAGGGCAAGCCTCATTTAAAATCCAGTAAATGGTTATATTTCTGTCAGCCCAAACAGTTTGTAAAATCTGGAGTGAAGGAGACAGTTTCAGGGAAAATGCCTCTCAGATGGTTTTTGCGCGTTAGAGTCTTCATTGACCCTGCCTTTTACCAAAACGATGGTGTTATTCAGGGTCATGGCTTTTTTGCTTGGAGTCCTGTGCTGGCAAGGCATTGTCTGAGTGACTGAGGATTTAGCACATTTGGCAATGTAAGAATTATTTTATGGACAAAGGGTTTTGTTTCTGTGGTCCTGCAAACCTTTCTTTTTGAAATATGTTCCAGTATATTCAGGTAAAGTATGTAATGTTGAGCACAGCTTCATCTCTCCAAACCCCTCTTCAGATAAAAACACAGTAACAAATTTTACATATACCGTAGAACTGGGGGGAATGAATGTAGGATACACAGGTTGGTTGGGTTCAGTGAGCAATGTCAGGAGGGAAGGGGATTCTACTACTAACAATAAGGAGAAAAGTAAAAAAGGAGAAAATTAGACCTTTTCCAGGCCACATGAAGAAAAATATTTACAACATTTACAATATTTACAAAGAAAAATTCTCCTTTATAAATGGCACTATTAAGAATTAATAATAAAAGTTTACCTGTGAAGCCAGGGCTTTCTGTTTTGCACCCAAAGTATAGTCTTTGTTCTCTTGTTTTAGCAATGCCGCATACAGGATGGGACCGTGGGATTTTCCTGGCTCAATGTGTGTCCTCTGATAGGAATTTGCTTTGCATTTTAGGCACTTTACTGTCATGCTTCTCTGCTCTTTGTATGCCACAGCAAGATCTTGTATGATCACCCTGTGTAACAAGATTGCATGTGTTACTTAAAACAGCTACATCTATACTTGGAAAAATCTAGAAGTATTTATTTATCACCTCACATCTTGGAAACATCACATATTTTCAGGAATGTTGGCTTTGGTTTGTTTGGTTTATTTTCTTTTCATGCGAATGTACTGTAGAAAGAGTTGTACAGAATCATTGTCTTGCATGGTTATGGTCCTGGGTGGAAAACCATTAATGTGTTTTGGGGTTTTCTGGGGGGTTGGTGTTTTGGTTTGGGTGCTTTTGGTTTTTTGTGTTTGGGTTTTTTTTGGGGGGTTTTTTTGTTTTTTTTTCTTTTTTTTCTTTTTTTTTTGTCTGTGAGGTGGGAGTTGGATTTCTGGATGTGGGAATATTTTTGATTTTAAATAAACTGCACGCCTGGAGGGGAGGGGATGCATGTACATGCAGTGTGTTTATATATATGTGTATAAACACGTGTGTACATATGTGCACACTGTATACACATTACCTGTTTTACACATGGCATGTAGGTATTTTGTTAGGTTACTGTTCTAGACTGAACTGTTAAATACTGTGTTTGAGGCTGGGTAGTCATTTTTATAACTGTCTTGGTGTTTTACTGCCATTATTTATTACTTTTGATATACAGAATGAGCCGCATGCATTTATAGAGCAATAAGAGGATGTATTTAATGTGCCTTGTTTTTAACTGAGTAAGAACTGAAAGCATGAATCAATAAAACTGATTAAAAACGGTCCCTTCACTGGCAGTTTGTTACGGCAGTTACAAAAATAACTTTGATTAGCCTTGAAAAAGTTTATTTTTAAGGGAAGAATGTTCAGATAGATGCTTGTTCGTAAACATAACATAATTTTGTCCATGCTTTCTCGTTTCAGCTCAGAATTTAGTGCTTCATAGTTTAGAAGTGAAAATTAGGAGTTAATGCAGCACTTAGCATTCTTGTGATGTAGGAGCTGTGTGTGCTCGCCGCTGACACACAGGGTGAGATATTCTGCTTTGCCATCTCGTACTAAAATCACAGCCAGCCAATTGGCCTGGATTTTTGGAGGGGGGGGTGGGTTGGAAATGCCAGTCGCAAGTGTTCCTTTGCACACTGATGAATTTTATCATAACTAAAATCAATAGAAATGAATGGAAGAAATTTCATAATCCATTTTGATCATTTTACATGTCAAGTTAGTCCAGGGTTGCCATGTGTTGATAAATGTTCTTACCAAAAAAATGCTATATATTTTCATTGTCAGTAAATCAGTAAGGCTGTTATCGGTTTTAACGCAATTTTTATAATCTCCATATTATTTTATAGGTTTTAATTTTCATTTGTAATAGGGATATTCCACAACTGTGATGCAGCTATGCTGAATACAGGGCTTGTGTACGTGCAGGCAGGATAACTTGCCTCCACATGTCCCCCACAGAAATAAGCAGGACCAAGACCTCCTGAGTGGAATTGCAATGATTATAAATTTTATCTAATGGGCGGTATGTAAGTAATATGTCAGAAAATGTTTGCTGCAATCATTTTTGTCCCAAATATTTTATAGCACTAAAATTGCCTTCAGTTGTGATCTTGATTTTGCTGCTCTCCACAGAACTGAGAGGAATAGGAGTTTTTTGAGGATGGTGTTTTGAGGCTGGGTTACCTTGCTTTGCACAGTTTTCTCCACTGAATGTTCAAAAATTCAGATTTATTGCAACTTATGTTCTTTTGCACTCTGCAGCCTGTTTTAGAAATACGATATATAATATCATAGCAACATTAATATTTAAGCGTTGGTGCTTGAGCTGGGTGTTTCCCGTGTCAGATATGAACTGATTGCATCTGTGGAGGAGAGAAAACCAGTGAGGGTGAATCTTTGCTGCTAAGTCAGCGTTGCTTCTCCTTGCTGAAAAAGAGGGGTTCACATTTGTGGGCGTGTTCTGCCTTGAGGCTTTAGTCCCCATTCTCCTGTTTAACATTCTCCCCAATTTTTGCATGTCTGCACCCTACTGCAGGAGCACTGCCGGCACAAAGCAAAAGCGCTCAGCTGCGGTGGCTGGAGGTTACAGGCTGTGTTTCAGGATCGATACCTTCTTCACTCAGAAGATGCCGCTGATGCAGGCATGTGCTGGGATAATCTTGCCTCTTCCTATTTTGCAAATAAAGGCAGAGATTAAATTTTGCTCCCCTGAGCAAGCCTCTAGCCTGCTCGGGCATTTTTTTTTTTTCCCCCACAAAAAGCCCTGTGCAAAGGCTGTCATATATGCTACGTTATCCAGTTGGATGTGAGCAGGGAGCTGATTTCTGAAAAATTTGGGGAAGTTTTAACTGTGTATTTCACTGAACTTGATCCTCGGCAAATGCCAGCATCGGCCACTGTGCTTTGTCTGCCTCCTCTGAACCATTGCAGCCTGAGACTGCTCAATGCAGTCGACAGGCTGGGGCTGCGTTCGAACTTTCCGTGTTTAAGCAGGTTCTTATTCAGTGGCAGCCGTGATTTTGAGCTACACCCAGCCAGCATGGTGCTGCGGAGTTGTGCCAGCTGTGCAGGTGCCTGAGACAGGGCTGAATGGTGTCACTGGTTCTCCTGCACAGGCTTTATTTGACTAAACGAGGCAAACTTGGTTCTGTCTTAGCGAGATACTGTAATCTGTTTGTCCAACTGATGTAA